GCAGCTAGCCGCAGCAAGCAGGCAGCCGCAGCTAGCAGGCAGCAAGCAGGCAGCCGCAGCTAGCAGGCAGCAAGCAGGCAGCCGCAGCTAGCAGGCAGCAAGCAGGCAGCCGCAGCTAGCAGGCAGCCGCAGTTAGCAGGCAGCCGCAGCTAGCCGCAGCAAGCAGGCAGCCGCAGCTAGCAGGCAGCTGCAGCTAGCAGGCAGCAGAGCTGCAAGAGTAAAAGAAGCGACTGCTGCTGTACGGAAACTGAGTTGTTTTCCACAATTACGGTCATAAAAACAAAACAAGCCGGCCTCCTGTCTGCGGCAGTCTCTGCGGTCACCTACAATTTGGGAGATGTGCAGCAGAGTGTCTGCGGAGGGGGCGGGAACGTCTTTGCGTTCACTGCGACAGCTACGCAGACGACCAAGTTTCAAAGTATAAATCAGCCTTTATGCTGCTGTGGATTATGCAGAAGTTAGGCTGTGGTTGGACAGAAGTTATGGACCCGTTATGATAATCTATCAGGGCTGGATGGTAACCATCGCCCGGGGAAAGTAGTTTTTATTGTCGGGAGAGTACAAATTTCATTTTTTTTTTGCGATCATTGCACTTGCCCACTTGCAAGTGCAATGATCGCAAAAAAAATTCTCACTGAAAATTACTTTAAAATCAACAACATTCGATGAAAACGACCCAGAAGCGTTGCCGGTGCCATCTTTGTTGGTTTGCACACATTCTCACGTGATTTGATAAAGCTGCGTGATGTTCCACCAGATGGCGTGATTTTTGTCCACTTAGCGGTAATTTTGATGTAGTTACCAAAACGACAAACGGCTGCATTTATTTTGTCGGGGAAAATACTGAATTACAAAAACAATTTAAAAAACAAACATGTTTCATTGATATATATACAAAAATGAATATTAGGAACTATATTTAACAAACATTATACTGGGCAAGTAACAATTGTTTCTGGGCAAATGAAATGTGAAAGTCACTTGCCCATGGGGGAAGTGGTAAAAATCCTTAACGTCAACCCTTGTCCAAGTATACGGCCAAAATAGAAAAATAAATATAAAGTTCAGCATCTGCCAGTTTTAGGGGTTTGTGGGATTTTTTTTTCAGGTATACTGTGAATTTTTTTATCTTTGTTGCATCTCTTCACACATGAAGGTTTGTTTCCAT